GGAAATTCTTCTTCACTGTGAGAATAGTGTGGTAGTAGAATAGACTGCTTTGGGAAGTAGTGGATTCTCCATCACTGGAGGTGTTCAAGATGTTGACAGCCACTGGTTGGGGATGATCTAGGTGTAGCTAGCTGTAGGCTTACCATATTTCCAGGATCAAAAAAGAGGTCACCTATGTGGGGACGAGCGGAAGAAAGGGGGAGGGGAAATATGATTGTGGGGGCATGATATGCCTGTTCCTTGCCTCTGCCCCTCACTCCTAGGCCCCTGCCCCCAGCCTTGCTGGTGCCCCTCACTCCTGACCTGCAGCCCCCTTGCCCCCACTGCTTAGCTGATGCCCCTTACTCTCAACCCATAGCCCCCTGCATCCCACCAGCCCTGCTGTCCACTCACTCCCGCATGCACTCGCACTCACACACACGCTCTCTCTCTCTCTCTCACTATTACCTGAATACAGCTTGCCAGGGCTTGGGCGCAGAGCATGTGACCCCCGACAGCCAATCACCTCGCTGGCTACTCGCAGTCCCAAGCATCCAAGCTGCTCGTGCCCAGGAAAAGCCAGAGGCAGAGCAAAAATCTGGACGTTTGCTCGCATTTTAAGAAATCCGCACAGACGGAGGACAAGGGGTCAAAAAAGAGGATGTGTCCAGGAAAACTCAGACATATGGTAACCCTGGCTATGACTATTTTCTACCATGGGTATTACCCATGCTTCTGGCTTTGCTGGTTGTTCCCCCACCTTCTCCTCCCCACACCCCCCTCCACTTCCTAAATGGAGGGACTTAGATATGTCATATAAGTACTTTAGATGCTGACATGGAATATATATATATTTTTTTTTAATCATATAGCCTACTTTCTTTTGCAACTTAATCAGTGATCTCAATTCAATACACATTCCCAGCCACACAGAAATCAAAACCACCAGAAGAAATATCATGATTAGATGGTTCCTTAAACCCTGACACTCATTTTGAAAATGCAGTAATCAAGCTGGGAAAAAAAACCTGAAGGCATCACGATATCCAATGGAAAAAGCTTCACATTTCTGAAGACAGTGCAAAAGTACACATTTAAATACACAAACAGATACACATCAGTTAAATGTTTTTCTAAAAAGGGAATTTCTGGTGAAAATCTTTTTTTATTTTTTATTTTTTTATAGAGACTTTCTAACCAGCTCAGCTCTTGCATACAAATTATTGATCTTGCAGATCTAAAATACTTGATCTTTAATAGCTGATGTTTAATCTAGTTAATGACAGCGACAACATAAATGATTTATGTTAGCCATCACTGAAGGAGATCTAAAGGAGACTAATACTTTTATACGCAATACAGTAGCTTATAGTAATGAACTTGCAATGAAATAGCCTCATTACAAGATACCATGCTGGTATCACCACAGTACAATGTTATAACAATATTTGTTGTAACAGTATACATCACTTTCCAAATACAGTATGACCATATAATAGGTCTTTTCTTGTTGTGGTCAAAGTCTTCCTTCAGTTCTCATGAAGCTGATGGCAACAGAACTAGACATGTTTAAAGATAATCTTAGGTTTCTTCTTTTTAAGGAAATTTATTCCTATAGCAAGAGGATGGTACACAGAAACTTAAGATTCCCCCTGATCCCTGTTTTTACCCTGACTCAGCCCTTTGGGATCTCAGCCCTTTGGGATCCCAGACCTGCCTATCTTGCTAATACTTTTCTAAACTGAGTCCAACCTTGTGTACGCTGGTACAACCATGGCAGAAAAGTACTGGCTGCCAGATATTTGGAGGAGGGGCAGCAAATTATAATTTCACAGGCTTCACTCTTAAAGTTCAGGTCTGGTTGTGGTTGCTAAGCAACAGTGCAATTTTACAGTTTTTATAGTGGATCCAGGTGCTTGTGTTGCTAAGCAACATGCATTCCCATCCATTTGTGCCATTGTAAATCATTGCAGGAGTAACCCCCTAATACCTATTGTAAGAATTGTGCTTTTCCCCCATGATATGGCTCTTCTATTTGTTGTCTTGGAATATGCAACAGGAAATTAGAGATGAAATTCTACCATAGGGAGGCATTTCTCCTTTGTAGACTTTTAAGATGCTGTTTAAGATACAGAGAGAAAGTAATCAGAGCCATGCATTAGTTACTTTCAGATTATGTCATGCTGAAATCCCATCTCTTCTGAACACACCCCTTCTGCCGTATCCCATCTGTGACTGTAGCAGATGCATAACTCTTATCTACGGTATTTCAGCCTATGTGATACCATTTGGAGCATTGTGACTGCTGAGGAACGGTTGCCCCATATGATCTAACCTTCCCATGATGGTACTTAGATTGTAAAATAAAGTAAATGTGAAATTGTAAAATAAAGTAAATGCATAACTAAACTTTTCTCCTAAAGACATTAGATTTTACATGTTCTACATCTTTAAAAAGCTGCACTATCTCTGTAGCCTGTAGAACGCTATATCTACCAAGAGCCTATTATTCTAGGATCAACCCTAAGTCACCTTTTACAAATATGAAAACAAACCAACTGGGATGTAGCTTCTGGGTCTCAGAGGCAGTTTTCCCACAAACCTATGTTTTTACACTTGGTCAATTTAAGAGAGCTTTTGGAGGAAGTCCAAAGTCTACACAAGTTAGATCTTTCCCTCATTTCATACTAAAGACATTTGTGTTCTGTCAGGTACTTCTCCCTTTTTTAATAATGCAGACTGGCTCTGTGTACATGAATGAGTGGCACTGCCTAGTAGCAGTTGGCAGAGAGGGAGGTTATACTAGCTATATACATAACAGAATTGTCTGATGTTCACACGGAAGTCCTCTTTCATGAGCTTAAAGCTCAAGGTCTCTACAGGAGCCTAAGAAAAACACCTGTGTCTAAATGCTAGCTATGTAATATGTATTATTATTATTAATGTTTAGCTTTTCTGAAGCTCTTGTGGAGACCTTGAGTTTTGAGCTCATGAAAGAGGACTTGCATGTGAACATTAGACAATTCTGTTATCTACCAGGCAGAACATTGTTACAATGGCCCATTTAATTAAAAACATGGAAATCACTTAAAGTGAGGACCAAGATTTTGACTTACTAAAAGAAACATATAAATGCTAAACCATGATGTGGTACCCCAGTGAAAGATGACTTTAGATCACTATTTGGTGTTTATAGACATGCTCCAGGAGTGGGGGGAGCACTTTAGAGTGGCTCCGGCAGGCACCCCAATGAAAGAGCGCCGAGCGTGGTTAGCCACTCTAATGAAAGTGCTCGGAGCATCATGGGTATCGGCATCCCCGCACTGAACAATGGCAGCAGGGGCACTTTAACTAAAGCTTGTTAGACAAGCCCCCACCACCATTTTTTCAGCATGGGGGTGCTGATATGAGATGCTGGAATCTGCTGGAGTGCAGACTTGATTAACTGAGTCTGCTCCAACGCGCTGTAATTACAGCGTGCTGGAGCACCCTCACTGCACATGTATAGGCGCCCATTGTGTTCTTCCATTAGTAGGCTACTCAAGTAACCCAAAACAGCTTTTGGCTTCTCTAAATTTATCATAGCCCATTCCAGGCTCCCTCTGACCTGTGGAACAGGAACCTCGTAGTAGTATGTGCTACAAACACCACCCTTGGCATGTCCCATCTGGCAAAGGGCACTGGGGAGTGAAAGGTCATTTATGCCCCCACCAAAGAAAATTCTCTGATTGATATCAGCACACTAATGTGGCATTTGGGGCTAGTGAGGGAAACAATATCTCCCAAAGTATAGAAGGATCCAACTGTACCCAGGTATGTAATGATACCAGTTTAAGGTGCTGTAATATAGCTGCAACATGTTTATCTAGTGATACTAGTGTGGTAAAATGGTTGGAACTTTAACCATGTTTCATTCAAGGCTAGCATTACAGTGGTCTAGCCGACTTGTGTTTGGAGAGGAGTGCATAGACCTGCTGGTTACATCATAACAGCTGATGAGCTCTGAGTAGCAAAGCCTCACTCCCCTTTTAAAGCAGCTGAACATTATGAGTCTCCACAGCTTCAGTGCATCTGTAACAAAACTGAGTGACATAGAAGCCATATACCTCAGTTAGACTTTATCCTGCAAATCTTTAGGTCAGATTACTCACATGCATAAAATTATGTAGTTGCATGTTTGCAAAACCAAGGTTTTACCCAGATTGATTGGTTGTTACCATTGGAAAACAGCATAGTCTTGATGCTTGTTCAAATGCAATGCATTTGCACAAAAGTTAGTAGTGCTCTGGCTTGCACTACTTCAGGGTGCAGTAAAAGCCAGCACACTGTTGTTTTGTTGTGTGGCATCATCAGACTGTGTGTGTAGAAGCCTGTTAATCACCTGACATTGTAACTAGAGAGAAACTCTGGCTTTGTGAAGACTCCTTTATGCATACACTGGCTAGAACAGAAAACAGGCATTAATAACAGCAATTATCTCACACCATAAACCAGTATTTCTTGCACCATTGCATTTCAAAGAGCTTTTGTCAGAAGCCTCCACCTTTCAAGATGATTAACTGGAAAATTACTTTGATGACCAGCCTGCACGTAGTTTCATAGTTGTTAAGGGCAAACATCTATGCTTGGCAACAAACACTTCCGGGCCTTTTTGACATTAGAAATTGAAAAACAAACTTAAAGTATAAACAAACAAGAAGTGAAAACTATTTTTTAAATTAAAAAAGCCCAGTAAAACCTCATCCTATATATGCATCACTTGTGTATCTTAGTGATACTTTTCCACCTTGAGTAAAGCTTTAATGTAAGAAACATTGCTAATGTTATAGATGGAGAAATACAAGAGGTTTCTGTAATGGTAGTTTTGTGCAAAACAGTAGTGTTTACTTAGGAAATAAAAATCTATAGTGGTCTCTCACTTGAACCATACAGGGGGACCCTGCAAGACCGTGTATCTTGTTTTCTTCAATGCCTGGAGTGGAGGCAGAGTTGTTTGTTTAACTGGTTATGTTTGAATTAAGGTGGGTCCCTGAAACAAAGCCAAAATTTCATGTGTGTCTGAGAAGAGGAGGAGGAGGAAAAAGAGGTGGAGATTAGTGAGGTGCAGCTGAAAAGGATGGTCTAAACTGGCAACTACTCCAGAGCAACCAGATCTGGTCCTGGAATGTAAGTTCAAAATAAATTATTCTCTTTATTTTAGGAAAGTGATTTTATTGTGCAGGGGAAAAGGTGTCTGGAGTCTGACCTTGCCAGAGGGACCCTTTGAAAAGTAAAATTTTAAAATTATGTTAGTAGTGGCGGACATTTTTTTTAACAGTTCTGATATTTAGGGAAGAAACACTTTGTCATTATTATTATTATTTAATTAACTAAAGGTATTTTTAGCAAGCTTTTACCATTAATATGACATCAAATTAATAGAAAAATGGTTATAAAGGACACACATTTGAAGAACTGAGTTCTGATTTCCAGTGAAGAAATATTTAACTGGATGTGGATTCTGCTGATTCTGCTGATTCTACGGAGCCATGTAAATTAAAACCATTGGGATTATATTTTAATCTATAGATTTTTATTAATTGTTCTTCACTCTACACTTCACTTGCTACTAAAGAAGTTGTAGAGCTTTGATTTTACTTCCCATTTACTTCCCATTTAATTATAATAATTGGGCAAATGATGATGGGAGAGTCGGAAAGTCCAGAAGCTTTATATTGCAAGGAAAAGAAAGGAAAGGGCACTGGCAAAAGTGGGGGGAAAACTGGAGTGGTGACTTATGACATTTTTGCTGCATTTTGTGTACCTTAGTGGTTGTAAATTTTAGCAAGATCCTGTAAATTATGCTATATATTCCTGTTGTAAAAGTATATGACAACTTTTGTTTCCATGAACCATCGCTACTTGTAAAGGTCAACAATACTGAAGTGATGCAGAGAGACTTGCAAGAGTCAAATGGATTTTAAACATTAATACAACAGAGCTCAATCGATACTAGGGAGAGAGGGAGGCCAGAGCTCTGTTCTTGATGAGTATTTGCAATGTCTTGGGACTGAATGAAGTGATGGATTCACTTAAGATCAATAGGATAAATTCTCCCCTTCAGCTGGTGGTGTTGAGGCACGTGGCCATCAGAGGACAGACTTAAGAGCTTTGAACTTGCTGGCTTTTGTCATACAGCTTCTGTGAGAACAAAAACTGTTTGGTCAGCAGTAGGGAAATGCCAGCATAACCTTCCTTTGGGAAATCTGCTGATTGTTAAAGGCAGCATGATGCGTGGGGAGATCTGTGTCTCTATGTTTTATGATCGTGAGGATGTTGATCTTATACAAAAGTAAATTTACCTGCCATTTTGGAATGACTCACAGAAATGTTTCAGAGAATCCTCTTGCAACATTCTCAGCTGATTGATTTAAAAAGACAGGAAGACACTTGACAGGGGTCTAGTTCCAAGTTTCTTAAGTGGGGGGGGGGAATCCACGAGGCCTAATTTACATGTAACATCTGCTGAAAGTGAGGAGCAATTCCATTAAGACAGGTGTGGATAATTATTTCAGGAGGAGGGCCGCTTACTGAGTTTTAGCAAGCCATCGAGGGCTGCATGACAGGCAGCCAGGGGCAGATAAATATTAATTTTCTAAATTTTTTAGGGGCCCCACAGGCTGGATAAAATGGCCTGGCAGGCCACGGGCTGCATTTTGCCCACCCCTGCATTAAGATCTGTGGAGTTATATTGTACAAGGAATTTTGGTCCATCCAAGCTATAATTTCCCATTGGGCTGCTAGTGTGATCCAGTTTCTTCGCCAATGGTACAGAAGGTGTGGCTAACATCACCTGCCTTTGATTCTCAGCCTACTGGCCAGGTACACAGTTACAGCTGGCTCCACCTGGGACATCCTTGGACATGAGTCCAGAGCAGGGCTTGAAGTCATGCCTCTGGAGTCGCAGTGAGATACCTTACCTGCTCTCCCACTACACTACTTGTGCTGGCTTATGAAACAAGCAAACTCAAGCAGTTCAGACATTGTAAATGTAGAATCAATACGAATTCACAAATGGGCCTGTTGAGTGCAAGTGGATTTTTTGTCTTGGCTAAGAAAGCAGAAGAGGCCTCCAGTGCTTAAGGGTGAAAAACTCAAACACTCTTATTAAAATTAACAGAACATATATTTTCATTTAGTATTAAGTGGATATGTGTAATGATACAAATCCTGCTCATGTCAGACTTCTGCTTAATCCAAGAATTTTAAAAAGGATTTTAAAATCATTAAAACTTAAAAGCTTCAGAGCAGCTGACCATCAAAGCTAACTAGTAAAGAAAATCCCTCTTAGATGTTGTAAGTACAGTGCCTGCTGTAACTGAGAAACACAGTGGAAAAACTATATTTAAAGGGCAGTCTGCTAGCGTTAGCTAAAACACTGTTGGGAAGGAGGTTGTGGCAGTAGTCTAATGATGGGTGGGCAAGCAAGGCATGAGCCTGGGGGCTGCCTAAGGGGTGGGTGCTGGAATGGAGCTGGTGGGGCACATCACTCTCCCATCTTCCATTTACCCTCCTCCCCGCTCAGCCCCAGCAGCCTGCACCTTCCCTGTTCCAGCTCTGGCAGCAGGAAGGACAAAGTAGCAGTGGCAGATCCCACCACCTTTTTTTGCTGCTGAGAATTGTTGCTTAAATGGCTGCTCAACACATATTGGCAGCAAAATATGGAAGTGACATCAGCCACTGTTTCTGCCACTGCTCAGGCTGTAGTACTGGCCAGTTATACCTCTGGATCAGAAAGACTCATCTTAGAAACCTTAGACAGCTATTTTTTTCATAATGCATCAGAGAGACCAACATTATCAGTTCTAAGTTTAAAAGAAGGTGATAAGGGGGCTAAGGATACAGTGTAAGGTTTCAGGTCACTGGGGCCAAGTACAGACAGTCAAAAAGCCTGAGGCTGAATCAATTCAGTCTTTGAAGGTTTCTAAACTGCAGAGATTAAACTGAGAAAAAACTGGACACACGATATTTACTTTTGCTTCAGAAAATACAGCCACATGCCTACAGTGGCTCAGGCCAGAAGCTGGGGGGTGCTAGAACATGGCTCTGTGGCATGTAGCCAGCATGGGCTGTGTGTTCGCTTCCACTTCCTACTGCCCCTGAGGTCTTTAGGATTTGCAGTCCAGAATCACATCAGCAGGACTCTACAGGATTGCTTATCACTTCCTCTTCTTGCTTACAGGTGCCTCTGGGATTTGTAGTCCACAGTCGCAGCCAGCAGTAAGTGTCAGTAAGTTTAGCAGGGCAGGGCAGCTCTGCACTCAAAGGAAGAGTGGTTTAACTGGGGGAAGATGGGTTTAACCCCCTGTCCCTGGCCCCAGATCCCAGCCAAGGTTTGCCTGTGGGGGACAGTCCCTGGCTTCACCCCCAAAACCTTCTCTGCTGGAGCAGACAGCGCACCCCAGCCCAAGGCTGGAAAGCATGCTGGGATATGGGGGACCTGTGATTTAACTTGAACCAGGAAGGGGTCTGGGACCAGTTTCATAAACTGATTTGACCCAAATCAGTTACGTCTGCTACTACATTCAACCAGGTTTATCTTAAACCAGTTTCAGCCATTTTGAAACTGGTTTATGTGCACTGAACTTCTGTCCTGTTACAGGTTTAAACCAGTTTCTGATGACTTAAACCAGTTAATGTGTAACTTCTGTCCCTAGCCAGAAGATTTACAGTGTTTCATTTCTTTCAGTTGCCTTTCTTAGCCTCGTTGTTGTTTGACACTGGAACTTTTGCATCACAATGGGGAATGAAAACAGCAGTGCAGAAAATCAGGTGGGTATGACAAAATTTTCCCTCCCTTCTACTGATTGCAAATCTTTTCACAAGACTGCTTGCTTGTTTTTGTGCTTTCTGCTTTCAGTTATACCCATGCAATTCCCACTCATTAAATTCCTTACCCCTCAATGGAACCAAGGGCAGAATTTTTACAGTAAAATGTTACACATCATTTTCCTCCTCTTCAAAGATTCCCCTGTACTGTGTGTGTGTGTGTGTGTGTGTGTGTGTGTGTGTGTGTGTGTGGAGACAGGCATTTATACCTGACTTTGCCCAAAGGTTGTTAATTTTTGAATGGTGAACCTAAATTTTTTGAAACATTTATAAAAAGGTTCATCTTTTGAAGATTGAATTTATCATTCAACACCAAGACAGAATTGGCAGCCTTTCTCTTTGCTAAGTTTTTGACCCTTTGCTAGTTATGTTGACTCTAACTCTGTCAGTGCTTAACGCTTCTTATGGTTTGGTCCATTGATTTAAATTTGAATAAGAGTCCTGTGTCAGCAACTGAATATCATTATAGCCCATTAATTCTCTGGTCTTTGGGTGGCATTTCTTCCTTGGGTGGCATAGAGTTGATTATGTTGAGTCTATGCCACCTACATAGTAGTTTGAAACTGGAATTGCCCAATGACAGGTTTAAACTTTCTATCTGCAGTTTGTTACTGGAGTAATACTAAATGAGCAGGAACATGCTAAGATTTGGCCCCCAAAATTTTAAATATTATAACTAAAAAAAATGTACACATTTTCCTCATGATTCTGGTACCAATATAGATAAATTCATAGTTTCATAGTAGCTAGGGTCAGGAGGGATCTGAACAGATCATCTAGCCTGAC